CTGAACATTCACCATACTTCTGGTACCCCAAAAATTCTACCAAAATTATTAAAAATAAAAAAATTGTACATAAAGACAGTTCAAAAAGAATCAGAACCATTTGACGTTCCAGTAAAAAATGTAAAATCGCGCACTACAGCCAAAGTTTCTGTCCTGCACCGTACAAACCAACAAGCATTGTAAACATCCTAAAGGCAAACCTTGGCACATTATTTTTATAATACAATGGAATTGTACAAGGGGATAATTATTTTTGATGAAAATTTTCTGTAATTAAGATTCACAAAGTTTCCGTGAGCATGAACAAAGTTCAAGGAGCTCTCCCACTTCAACAATGCTTGTCTCTCTCACTTTCACTTTCCTTTTTGAAAAGTTTTGGGTTCCCCTCTCTTTTTTTTGTTTTTAAACTTCATAAAAAGCACTCAACAGAAATAAATGACTCTCTAAAACTTCCGGGTTGTCTCCCTGGCAGCGATTTCTTTAAAGCCATTAAGCTAGGCATAAAAGTGCTCAACTAATGGATCCACCTGGATCCGAAGGTATATCAAAGCCAATTTTAATTAACAATGATTTGTAATTTAGTAGTGAGCACAAAGTAACATATATCATGCAACAACGAAGTCTAACTCTCTTCCTATGCATCTGCATGTCATAAAAGAACAATTCATGCACACAAAGTAAAGGCCAATGCACAGTATAAGCAGTTTCTTGCAATTTTGTCATATTGGAAACATAGAGAGGTGGAGATATAGTTTCTCTCTCATAATAATTGCAAGTAGGAGCAGCAAGAACATGCATATTATATTCATCAAAATCATCATGTGCAACGGTAAAAGGCAACCCATCAATAGAATCCTTAATAAGCACAAACTTCTCCGATATAGTGTAGTTGGGAGAATTCAAAAAGATAATAGGACTATCACGCGTGGGTGCAATAGCAACAATTTAATGTTTAACATTAGGAACTATAGCAAGTTCATCTTCATAAGCATAATTCATATTGGCATCTTGGCCACAAGCATAGCAAGCATCATCAAAAAGGGATATTTCAAGAGAATCAATGGGATCATAACAATCATCATAGCAATCATCCTTCGGTAAGCACGAAGGGGAATTAAACAATGTATAAGTTGAAGAGTTACTCTCATTAGAAGGTGGGCACGGGTAGCTAATCCGCTCTTCCTCCTTTTGTTCTTCGCTCTCCTCATCATCTTTTTCATCCAATGAGCTCACAGTTTCATCAATTTCTTCTTCCATAGCTTCCTGCAAAATATTAGTCTCTTCTTGGACAGCGGAGAATTCCTCAATATATAGTTTAACATAGGCATTAGAAGCATAATTATCATATATCATAACAATATTCAAGTATGGCAAAAAATTTAGATTTGTAAAGAGTGGCATCATACTTTTCAATCAAAGAAGCAATTTCATATGAACCCTTAAAAGCAACAAATTCTTCAATTTGTTGAACATCATAGTAATTATAAACACCCTTAGCATACGAAGATACGATTCCATCATTAAACTCACATTGGTAGGGGAGGTGTTTCTTAGGGTTTTCAGAACAACAAGTAACATCATATATTTCACATAAATTCCAAGAATAGCATTGCAAATGATGAATTTGATCCAATAAAAGTTTCCCTTTTTCAGATATACGGTGTAGCACAAAACAAGCATGCTCATCTAAAGATTTGCCCTCAACTAAGCTAGTGGGGGTTTCAGCACGAGCACAAAGGGATCGAAGATGATCCATGTAAAAAGCTTCAGGAGTGTGATAGATTTTGAGTGGTTCTTCAACCATTGGTTCAGTAGGTACAACTAATTTTTTTGGTATTTTGCGTTTCCTACCCATAATAAAGATAGAAAACAACTATGAACAGAAATAAAAATTACTTAGTGATAAAGCAAACAAGCACACACAAGAATATTCACCCCACGATGTGACTCCCCGGCAACGGCGCCAGAAAAAGGTCTTGATAACCCGCAAGTATATGGGATCAATTGTAGCCTCTTTCGATAAGTAAGAGTGTCGAACCCAACGAGGAGCTAAAGGTAGAACAAATATTCTCTCAAGTCCTATCTGCCACTGATACGACTCTACGCACGCTTAGTGTTCGCTTTACCTAGAACAAGTATGAAACTAAAAGTACTTTGTAGGTGTTGTTGGATAGGTTTGTAAGAATATAAAGAGCACGTAAATAAAAGTTAGGGGTTGTTTAGATAAATAAGCAATAAAGTAAATATAGCGAGTGTGGAAAAGTGGTGGTAGGAGTTGTGAAAGTGTCCCTAAGCAATTGACTACTTTACTAGACCGGTAATCACTATTGCAATTCTATTTGAGGGAGAGGCATAAGCTAACATACTTTCTCTTCTTGGATCATATGCACTTATGATTGGAACTCTAGCAAGCATCCGCAACTACTAAATATCATTAAGGTAAAACCCAATCATAGCATTAAAGTATCAAGTCCCCTTTATCCCATACGCAAACAACCTACTTACTCGGGTCTATGCTTCTGTCACTCACGCCACCCACCATAAGCAAATCATGAACATATTGCAAACCCTACAGCGGGGATCCCTAACGCTTGCGCGACACGAAGGGCACAATAGGACAGCACCAATAATAAAACATGCAACTCAAACCAATCATAGCAATTCATCAATCACCGGTAGGACAACGAAAATCTACTCAGACATCATAGGATGGCAACACATCATTGGAAAATAATATGAAGCGTAAATCACCATGTTCAAGTAGAGGGTACATCGGGTTGCGGGAGAGTGGACCACTGACTATAGATGGGGGAAGGTGATGGAGATGTTGGTGAATATGATGGAGGTGTTGGTGAAGATCGCGGTGATGATGATGGCCCCCGGCAGCGCTCCGGCGTCACCGGAAGCAAGGGGGAGAGAACCCTCCCTTCTTCTTCTTCTTCCTTGACCTCCTCCCTAGATGGGAGAAGGGTTTCCCCTCTGGTCCTTGGCTCTCATGGCGTGGGAGGGGCGAGAGCCCCTCCGAGATTGGATCTGTCTCACTGTCTCTCTCTGTTTCTGCGTTCTCAGATCCTTTCCTTTCACCGTTTTTTTTATATCCGAAGATCCGTAACTCCGATTGGGGTGAATCTTTCGCCCAGATTTTTCTCATAAAATTAGCTTGCTTGCAGCAAAAGAAGAGCGTCAACCGCCTTACGGGGTGCCCACGAGGGTCCAAGGCGCGCCCCCCTGCCTCGTGGCCCCCTCGGGCACCGTCTCGCGTTGATTCTTCCTCCCAAAAATCACAAATATTCCAAAATAATTCTACGTCCGTTTTTATCCCGTTTGGACTCCGTTTGACATTGGGTTTCTGCGAAACATAAAACATGCAATAAACAAGGACTGGCACTGGGCACTGGATCAATATGTTAGTCCAAAAAATAATATAAAGTTGCCAAAAGTATATGAAAGTTGAATAATATTGGCAAGGAACAATAAAAAATTACAGATACGACGGAAACGTATCAATCGGCGCCATGAAAGCAAGATGGAGAAGAAGGGGGCAGACGGAAGCAAGACAAAGAAGAAACGGGCGAGGGGTTCTGCTAACGAGGTGTGTAGGTATTGCTAACGAGGTGTTGCGTGGTTCTTCTACTGGATTGATAAACTTGGTTCTTAACTGAGAAAAATACTTATCTCTACTGTACTGCATCATCCTGTCCCCTTCGGAGAAATCCCAATGTAACTTACAAGTAGCAATAGATGACACTTAAGTGAACGTCTCCTTCGTAAAAAGGGATGAAAGAAAATCATAAGGAGGCGATATGTATTTCCTATGGTACCACAATGGCATTAGATAACCTAAATGATAACGCCCATACGTGTGGCACTTATCAACATCACCCAAACGCAGTCGATGTCGTTTCATTCATTTGCACAAATATTGTAGCAGTTGTCATCTGGGTCGAGAGTCACGTAAGCACCCAGCGTCATGTGGGCGTTATCATTTAGTGCCACGTGTGGGCGCTCCTCGCCGAACGGACACACGACGTTCGCCGGAACGTGTAGGTGAAACTGCTCTTCGCCCACACGACGCTCGCACTATGATAGATAGATGGCAACTAGTTAATCACACATGACAATTATAGTTGACCATACATGGCAACTATGATTTGACCACACGTGGCAACTAGTTAATCACACACCACAATTATAGTTGACCATACATGACAACTATGGTTTGACCACACGTGAGAACTCCAATTAGTTACACATGGCAACTATATTTAATGATACATAACAACTAAAGATCACACATGGCAACTTTAGTAATTAGACATGGCAACTATAGTTAATTACACATGGTAACTAAAGTTTATTATACACGCGTTCGAGACGCCCAAAGAAGATTTGATTAAGCATCCGTGGACGGTTAAAAAGGATAATCAAAACATATGCGCGAGTTGAATTCAAATTTAAACTATTTATTTAAAAACTTAGTTGGATTATAGTAATATTTAAATTAGGAATACTCTCGGGTTTGAATATTTTCAATCACCAAAGATTAGATATGGTATTATTTTAAGCTCACGGACTCAGGGAAAAATATAGAGACAAACGTTTTAGGGTAAGATAAGAGTTGGATGGCCGGTTTTCGTATCACGGTCCGCCGCAGAGCACAGTGACCGTTTTGAAGACCGGCTTTGGAGATGCACTAACCGTCCTTCCGCTCCAAACGCATCGACCCGGATCGACAGCTAAGCTAGCAGGAACAGCAAGAAAGATCCGACGGGCCTCACCCCACCAGCCGGCAGAGACGTCCAACTCCATCACCAAACCCTCCGATAACCCCCTTCCCTTCCATAAGTAGTGCTACTAGTACCAGCTCCAAACCCACCCACGCTGACGCACCGCACGATTGTTGTTCAACTCGGCTCTGTTCGTTTCCTCCGCCGCCCACGCCACGCCACGCGAGCCCGCGATCGACCTCTTCTGTTGATCCAGCTCGAAAGGGGTAAAGAATGGCGCCGCCGCCCGAGGAGGAGCGGGGCGGCGGTGGCTGCCGCGCGAGGTGGCTTCGGCGGGAGGTGCTGCTGGCCCTCGCGCTGGGACAGCTCGTCTCGCTCCTCATCACCTCCACCGGCTTCTCCTCCTCCGAGCTCGCGCGCCGAGGTGCGTTCGTCAACTCGCCGCCTCTTTCCTCCCCCATGTCGCCGTTGGCCGGGCGACGGCTTGCGGCCGACGAGTGTTTGATCAGTACTATACTCTGTCATCACCAATTGGGCGTTGATTAATACTTTGCCATCGCCAATTGTGCTTTGATTAATACTCTGTCACTGTTGGTTTCCCTCCTGGATGACAAGAGGCATCACCCTCCGCTTTCTCTTCTCTAATTATGGTAAATTTGCGGAGAGATTGTTCCTTTCTGACTTTTCGAGTGGTGCTCCGGCGGTGTTCGGGAATCTAGATTGATTGGTCACCTACCTCGTGTTCTTCAGTTCCGTTGCTTTTGGGTCGACACTCGACAGGAAAGCAGATTTTTGGAGCCTCTCGATTAAATATTGGGGTTCCACGGCTTTTTCCCAAACCTTTACAGTTTACACAACATCTGATGCGGCGTGCTTCTCCCTTTTAGTTTATAGGCTATAAACAAATCGTGCCTGCCATGACAAAAGATATTAGTTTCTTTATAAGCCGATTGAGATCTTTTGTGTCTGTTTGGACGATGTCACCTCAGTTCAGACTTCAGAAGCAGAGTGCACTCTTGTGAACTAGTAATAACTAAAACAAAAATGCAAGCGCCCAAATCTCAGCATGTTAGTACGTAATATTTAATGTTGGGCCAATTCTGATATGCAATCTGACAGTGCCATGTTTTCAGGTATCAATGCACCAACGTCGCAGTCCCTCTTGAACTACATCCTTCTTGCTCTTGTCTACGGTGGAATACTCCTCTACCGGAGACAGCCACTCACGGTACGATCCTCCATCCTTTTCTGTTCTTAGCACGCCTCGGGATGAACTGTGAGATGATCAGAAAGCTAATCCATTAAACTGTTAGAACTGTAAGGAATTTGGGGATTCCTGCTCTTGTGCTACCTGTAGCTTTCAGCACATGGCCAACCTCTAGCTAGCTAGTTTGTTCTTTTTGACTAGTTGGTACAGTAGTAGTTTGGTTTGCATTGTTTTCCTGCTACATGATTGATGATTGTAGGATACAAGTTTGGTATATCTTATCCCAATAGTCTGGACTCTGGACCTATGATCGCAACCTTTATCACTATATGTATGACAAGGTTTATGCTTATTCTGATTCTGTTCTTGCGTACACTGTTTTTGTTGGCACAAGTTGTCACAGTGTTCACAAGTGGCACAATCATATGAATCCTCTTAACAATATAACTTGAAGTTCTCTACTTTCTTTTTGTGCAGACAAAATGGTACTACTACTTGATCCTCGGCATTATTGATGTGGAGGCTAACTATATTGGTATGTAGTTAACACAAGCGGAAAATGTAATCTTATATATGCCCCCTTTGAATTTAATGTCAATGGGGCTTTTATGCGACACCATGTTTTGGGGGAACAAAACATAATTGGTTTTTCTTTGTTTATGCAGTTGTCAAATCTTATCAGTACACATCTTTAACGAGTGTGATGCTGCTGGATTGTTGGTCAATTCCATGTGTAATTGTTCTTACTTGGATCTTTTTGAAGACCAAATATGGATTCAGGAAGTTCTTCGGTGTTGGGGTTTGTGTGGCCGGCCTTATATTAGTAGTATTTTCAGACGTCCATGCCTCTGATCGAGCTAGTAAGGATATACTTCTCATCAACCTATATTACAGTTCCATGTATCTATTTCCGCAACGCTGCGTTTGGATGTCTCCATTGGTGAGCTCTGTATTGAATTGGTCTAGAATTCCAAATCAGTGAGGAAACTGAAATGGCATGAATACGAATTCGCCTGTTTGGTTGTTCACTGAATTGCCCCTTGAAATGCCTCTGAGGTTTCAATACCACATCCTGTTTGGATGACAAACTTTGGAATTGCAAAGCTATATTACCATGAAAATTATATCTTGTGCTACATGACTCAAAAATGAAATCCGTCACATGTGACTATAATTAAATGAGTATATAGCAGTAAAATAATAAATATTCTAGCAATGCATCTCCTTCGGCCATGGAGCAGAAGAGGAGCAGCAGCTCCTTTGGCCATGGAGCAGAAGAGGGCGGAGGACGGCGGGCAGGGAGGACGGCGGGGCGTGGCCGAGGAGGGCGGGGCACGGTGGCCGGGGAGGACGGCAGGGCATGCCACAAGGGAGCGGGGAGCGCCAGTCCTGCACCGCCGCCGACCACCACGGCGGGGTGTGGCTCAGTGGGGCAGAGAAGAGGAGTTGGGGAAGAGGGGAAGGACCGGGGAGGAGGGCACCTGAGCCGCCGCCGGACTCCATGGTGGTTACCGCCGCCGCCACCTACCCGCTAGGTCGCTGCCGCCGCCCGCCTGCTGACTGCTAGGTCGTCGCGAGGTCGCCATCCCCTCCTTTCTTCTATTTTCTGGTTGCGGGCTCGAACGGGTATGTTTTGCGGGAGGTTGGCCATTTCAGTCCAATTCGAAGGGGTAGCCCTCCGAAACGTGCGAGGGACATTTACGTGGTAGCCAAAACAGGCCTGAATTGGTTTTTCATTTCCAATACGAATTCAGTGTCCAGCCAAACAGCTGTATTGATGTCAGATGATTACCAAATCCATTTCCTGGGCTCCAATGGAGACATCCAAACACAGTGCAAGTGTTTTCGCGAATCCTGATTAGGAAATTACTCCCTCCGTCCCATAATGTAAGACGCTTTTTGACACTACACTAGTGTCAAAAAACATCTTACATTATGGGACGGAGGGAGTACAAAATTGTTGAACTTGTTATATTAAAATTCAAAATCATAACATCTATTTCTGCAATTTCTTGCAGAAGGACCCAAACCTTTGAAGGGTGATTTACTTGTAATTGTTGGCTCCATGCTTTATGCTTGCAGTAATGTTACTGAGGTAAACTAGCAACTCTTACCACCCATAAACACTTCATTTTACGTTTCTGGTTTTCCCTACTTGCATTTGAAAAATACTTTATCCCTTTCTCAATGCATGAAGAGATTCAACAATTTCCTTTCCTAATTTTTTTTAATCAATTTTCCTCCCTGATGTTTCAGGAATATCTAGTCAAGAAGAACAACCGAATTGAGTTGATGGCTATGTTGGGAATTTTTGGAGCAGTTATCAGTGGCATACAAATGTATCCTTGAACTTAAATCTTCTAGCTTCTCCGATAATTTTCTACTGTATCAAAATGATCCTACCTTTTACTCATCATATGCATGATTTGCAGTACTTTTTTTCCATCGTATCTGAGGGATTTAGCACATACTGCATTACATACCATTCTTTTTCTTAGCACTTGTATATTCCTTGACATTACTACAGAAGTATTCTTGAGCGAGAAGAACTTCATTCGATCAAATGGAATGCCGGCGCGGTAAATCTCTCTCATTATCGTTTTGGGCACTGGTGCACTTAGAAATTACTCAAAATATCCATAGACTGATAGACATATGACATGCTAAAAACCTATGACCATCCACGTATCATACAAAAAAGAAGAAGAAAAATATTGTGTTCAACTCCAGCAATGTTTCAGGTGTTCCCTTTTATCGGATTCGCATTGGCAATGTTCCTGTTTTACTCGACTGTACCTACGGTGCTGAAGGTACTAAGAGGGTTTGCTGAGCTTTACCAGATGATCCTGGGCTCCCGGCTATTTTTCGGAGTTCCTGACAATCTTGCATCTATATATGTCTCCCTTGCCTATCGCAGATTTGTGGGGCAACCATGCTAAACCTCTCACTCCTGACCTCAGACATGTGGGCTGTCCTGATCCGCATCTTCGCCTACCATGAGAAGGTCTGGTTCTTCCTTTGCATTTTCTGCAGACGCAAATTTCTGATTAAATAATTGCCGGCTAAAGCCTGTGGATGATGTGGTTTTTACAATAAGCTCGATAAACTCTACTTACCACCTGTTTGTTCACGCACTGCCAGGTTGACTGGATGTACTTCGTTGCGTTTGCCTGCACGGCCGGGGGCCTTCTGGTCTACTCGTACAGGTAAATGCTGCTGATTGTTGTTGTCAGTTAAGCAGCTGCTGCAATCTGACATGCCATTTTCTCACAACTGAGATCTCTGGTTGCACGCAGGAGCTCCAAGGAGGCTGATGACACGGCGCAGGTCACTGGGGCCAGCGACGAGCAGAGTAGGGTAGGGGATGAGGAGTCTGGAATTCAGAACCAGGTGCGAAGTTCCTTTGCTGGCGGCAACGACGATCAGGTCTCCTACAAGGAGTTGCCATCAAATGGCAGCCCCTCCAAGAACTAGGCAGTAGGTGCATAGGCTGATATTCATATGGCAATGGGCGGTTATAACAATTCTCAGTGAGGAAATCTTTACTTGTACAAGTAAAGGGAAACCTATCCAGTTTGAGATTCGACTTCCTCTTCTTCGTAAAATTTTGAAATTTCTTTTTTCTTTCTTTCGAGATTTTCTGCCTAGACAATATCTAATTTAGTTTAGCAATCATTTAGCCAACATAAGAAAATGCAATAATTAATATACATATGCTGTGTATTAGTGTATGACTGACATCAGGTGGGAATAATAAATGGTCCAGAATTATCTCTCCTTGCAACTGGTACTCCTAACATATGTACAGCTTTTGTTGAGAAAAATCAGTTCTAGGGAAACTACAATAACCAAATGATCCATCAACATATGTTGCAAAAATTTGCTAATATACCCTAAAAACAGTAAAAAGAACCCAAAGAGATGGAGGCCCACAAGTTAATTGCGGTATTTTGTTAAAAATAAAGGAATGGTCATCATGGGCGATGAATCGGATGCGATAACCAATCTCAAGAGTTTGCAGAGTGCGAAATATATGGAGAAGAATCGTATGAGACGAGAGAGGACCAAGCAGCAGTCTGGACTGGTGCTTCAAACAAAATGCTCCATCTTGAGATTTGGTTTTTTACTGTTCTTGGCCACTCAGATCCCGCAAGGCTTCCTTAAAATTTTCACTCAATCCACCTTTATCGCCGTTATTGAGACTTCCTTGAGATTTTGTATCCCCAAGGGAACCCTTACAAAAGAATCGTGTGCCTAAAGCAGTTCAAGCTTAGGCGTTGCCTTTTCTTCAAACTTGACAGGTTTGAGGCCAGATAGGTTCACAAGCTGGAGAAATGTCAGCCTTGCGAAGGCCTCGGGTTGATAATGGAAGTGGAGTTCTCCCTTTTCAAACGGCTCGTTATGAAGACGTAGAATGGCAAGTTTTGTCAGCTTCCCCAGTGCTACAAGTATGTCAGCATGCTTCACTTGGGTACTCCGTAGAGTTAACTTGGCTAGCATCTGTAGCTATTCAATCCATGTAGGCAATTTGACCAGATAGCCATACAACTTAAGGCTATGAATATGAAGGCCATCTGGAGATGGGGACAATTTATCTAGACATCCTTCTAAGTTCTAACCCAGGCTCACCCTCAGAGCACATCGACAAGGACAGCAAGCGTACATGATCGATGATATCAGAGCACAGCTCCTTGCAGTTTCTCTTGTTGATGCCAGTCACTCTGTTCCAAGCTTACGCAACTGAGTTAAGCTCACACAGATCCTTCAGAATGGCCTTCCCCCGTGCAGTGTTGACAACACCAAGTGTGTGCAGGGCCTTCATTCTCCCAATCCCTCTGGGCACTTTCACACCATGCTCATCCAAATCATGAACATAATTTTTCTGTACATAGCTCTTGTAAGTTGTCAAGCAAAATTCCTTCAAGGGCTGATCAATTCCTCTGACATAACTGCTGGGAAGCAAATCATCACTAGGCACGAGACAGGCGCGAAGGTATTTTAGCTTTGACAGCAATGTGATCACAAATGTACTTCTTATACCCAGTATCTCCAGTCAGGGTCATAAAAAATGATCAAACTTCAAGAGAGTTTACCCACCAGCATTTTATCGTAGCCACATTCCTGTTGCCCCCTTTGTAATGATTTGACAGCTTGAACCTATCACCAACCCATGGCCGAACCGAGAAACACAGGGTAAAATCGAATTGCACACAACGTGAACCATGAACCATAAATCATCGAGCAAAGCAACCACTAAAATCTAAAGGTGCAGTGGCCACTGAAGTAGAATTCAGGGTTGTAATTGCAAAGTGTAGCATTGGTTAATAATCTCAAGCAAAAACCATGCGTGCGGAGAGTTGAAGGAAATAAAATACAGAGAGGACACAGTGGACTTCACGGCGTCAGTCTGCGGCGGCAGGGGCGGCGACCACCTCGACCTCAACGGCAGCAGCGGGCGTGGTCTCCTCGTCCTGCGGCGCCGCATCTTCCTTCTCACCGGCGGCGACGAGCGTCCAGTCATCGGGAAGCGCCGGCAGCGGCTCGTACTGAATGGGGCGGCGCTTGATGTCCCACCGCTGCGTCTTCTTGGGCCGCGTCTTCATATGGTGCTTGGTCCCTTTCTTCTGCGGCCGCGACGAGCACTCCACCGACAGCGCGCACCCTCCGCCGACCCCAAAGAAGCCCACCGACGGGCGGGCGGACCGTGGCGCGACCGCCGGCGCCGCTGAGCCCGCCAGAAAAGCTGTGACGAGCGACATGTTCGTTGAAATGCCTCTGCTTAGACCAGGGGAGAGCTACACGAGTGTTGTGTTTGGGATAAGAAAGGACGGAGGGTGGCTTTGGATTGGATTGGGCTTTGTATATACATCCGGGGTTCCCAGGTGCCGAGCAAAATCTGACGGTCCATCTTGGAACGTATGAAATCCTGCCGTCCAAGTTTCCCCTGCACTAAAGATAATGATAAATGAAGGCTATAATCATTACTTCTACAAAGAATGTTGGAGTACCCGCCTTCCTAGGCTCCTCGCAAGCTGTGAGAGCCTCGCGCCGTCCGATTCCGGCTGGCTTGCGGCATCTCGAGCTCTCCGAGCCGTCCGATCTGCCTGAACGACTCAAACTCGGGCGACCTAATTGGATGGTTCATGACAGGTGGACCGCGGGTGTGCGCCCGGGGTCATTGTCGGTGTCAAAATCGATGGATCTCGGATAGGGGGTCCCGAGCTGTAGATCTTGGATCGATGGGTAACAAGGGGCGTAGAGACGATGTTTACCAAGGTTCGGGCCCTCTGAAAGAGGTAAAACCCTATGTCCTCCTTGATTATATTGATGTGTGCATATGATGGTTCCAGAGTTGATCTAGCTCGAGATCAGGTGAGCAAAACCCTAGATGAGTAGGATGATGGTTCTTCCCTCTACAGACTAAACCCTCTGGTTTATATAGACACCAGGGGTCCCTAAGGTTACACCTGGTTGGTTACCACCAGGGGATAAACATGTCGTCTTCATTATCTTGACTTGGAGGACACACCAAAGCTTCGGAGGTTTTCTTCCTGAACACGGAGTCATGCATAGCTTCGGCCTTCCAATGAGAGTGGCTCAACTGTCCGGCCGACGAGAGATAGACCGGCAGCACGAGGACCCTTTCGTGTGGGACACCCTCAGTAGCCCCCGAACTAGTCTTCGAAGCCGAGGTTTGTGTGAGAATCGTCGGCTTTGTGGACCAGTTCCTTGTTCTCATAGTGCTTGCGCCAGGTCTGCAGTTACCCTTAGTCAAACCTCCAAAGGATGTTTGGCCATGTCCAGCCATGCATTGTCCGGATTATGCCCTGATTCCCGAATAGTATATATTACTTAGCCTCGAAGGACAGTCGCTCGAGTGTGAATAGTGCCTTCACGTGACAACTTTTGGCGAAAGGTCACAGCCGGCCACAACCACTGACCAGCTATGAAAACTCAATTCGCGGTTCGAGGCAGTTTCTCCATTGGCATGTCCCATCAATATGGAGATCGTGCCCTGTTCTTAAGGGATATGATAAATGATGTGGGTTATCCCACGCGCGCATAACGGCGCAATTATACCGAGAAGGGGCGAGGTCTACGGCGCAGTAAAAGGACTCTTGGTATTACGACAGCTCATAAATGGGGAACCATCACCATTTTCACCGCACGCTCTCAC